TCCAGAACTCATGCGTGTTGTGTACTTAAACGTGACTTGTGTAGTTGTTAGCATGTGTCTGGACCCTTGGCTCGCAATGGGCAGAATGATGCGCTGAGAGCTGATATTTCCCCTCCACAAGGGAGTTCGCAGATTTTCAGAAGTTCACTTTCTCCTCGCCGTCAGTGCTGTCCCCAATCGCAGAGTATCCAACCGTCGAATATCCCTGGCATGCCCGGCCGCAGATTATCCCTGCAGTGCAAACATCCCTACAGTGCCCAACTGCGGAACATAATGCGCTGCCCAACCGCAGAGTATCCCCGCAGTGCCCAGCTGCAATACATATGCCCAGTGCGCAACCGCAGCATATCCTCGTGGTGCCCAACCACGGAGGATAGTGCAGGGACCAATCGCAGAATATGATCCAGTGCCAAACCGCAGAGTATCCTTGCAGTGCTCAACCGCAGCGTGTCTCTGCCCAGCCTCAGAGTATCCTTGCTGTCCAACCCAAAATATTCCAGAGGTTCCCTGCAGTGCCTCCATCTCTGGCTGCAGTGCACAGCTTAGGGGTATCCCTGGAGCATAACTACAAAAATTCCAAGCCACCCCGGTCCCCCAAAGGAAGTGCTTGGAATGTACAGTTGCTGGGATGCGCTTTGATTTCAGTTGCGCAGGACCATGCACTGTTTGTGGAGCTGCCAGCAGTTCAGGCAGGAGAAGAGCAGTGGGGCACGTTCAGGCGAGTGGTCATTGCCATCCACTCAAGCTCATTTTGTTCCATCTGCTGGCAGTGTTCAGTTTGCGTGCCGTGTTGCCAGCTATACCAGCCTGAGGCTCGCCTCAATCTTTGCCAAGTTGGCACAGACTTCTCTGCGCCAACTTTGGTCCCTTTCGGGTTCAGCGATGTTGATTGTAAATCCGAATTTGTTGGATTGGTACACATCAGACCGTGTTGGCATCAACCACAGATGCAGCACACATTGGACGGAGTTCAGTTTTTGCATAGCGCACCAGCTGACCATCAATCGCAGACACGCGGGCAACGTGTGTGTAGTTGTGTGCAAACGGGACAACGACAGCCGTATGATGGCGGCTAACGACAGTACGTGGGCACACATCGGATTGCATAGACGTCGATATCAAACACCGACCCCGATTCAAGCACTACAATTCAAGCACCGCCGATTCAAGCACCAACGATTCAAGCACCGAAAGCAGCCCGGTTCAGCCACCCAAATAGCCCGATTCAAGAATTCAAGCACCAAAACAACCCGATACAAGCACCAACAGGCTTCGATTTCAACGCCACGGCATTCCGGTGAAATTCCCCAAACCACTGCGATTCAAGCACGCGCAAAGCCTAATTACATGCACTACTGGTATCATGGTCTAGGGCTTGGGGATGTGCTTAGGGTTTGGGCGCGCGCGTAGGGTTTCGGGATTAGGTTCGGCTTCGTGGCGCAGTGCAAGTGCCTGGAACCCATATCTACCATCCAACTTTTGGCTATGCTTGCTGCGTATGAATACCTCAAAGACCACATCGATGGACGCAGAATCATGAAAGAAGAGCTGGGGTAAGCCTTTGACATGATGGCCTCATTGCTTGTCGCGGTATTCAAACTGAAGCTAATAGTCTCAACGAGTCGTCGCCACCCTGGTATATCTACATCGGGCTTACAAAATTGGTGCGGGTTTGCGGTTGGATGCTCAAGGTTGCCAGTTAGCATCAGAGTTTCCTCGCGGGCAAAACTCTTATTTGCCACATTTTGCAAGAAAGAAGAAGCAAAGCGGGACCACTGCAGTGGGCAACATAACGACTGAATCTGCCCTGTGGACAAGCAGTCAAAGCTGCACCCTCATTGATGGCCCAGCATGCTCAAACTGCCAAGTTTACGGTCTAGGGTTTGGGGCATGAAGGGGTTAGGGCTTTGGGAGTGTTTAGGGTTTTGCATTTCGGTGGTCGGAGTTTATGGTGAAGGTCAGGGTCTCGTGGTGGTGGGAGTTTAGGGTTCGCGTCGGAGTTTAGGTTCCTCAATTGCCAGAAGTCGAGGTTAAGGTGTTATTAGGGTTTAGGGCGTTTCGAGGTTTTAGGGTTTGGTAGGATTTCAGGCTCGAGGCTTTTAGGGTTAAGTGTTTTCAGGGTTTAGGGTCTCAGCGTGTTTTTACTTTTTAGCCTTCAGGGTTTTTTGGGTTTGGGGTTTGAGGCTTTTTAGGGTTGAGGGTTGTCAGGGTTTAGCGTTTTAGGGTATTTAGGGTTGGATTTTTCTGTGGCTTTCAGGGTTTAGCGTTTTAGGTTGAAGATTTTCCGGGTTTTGCATGTTTGTTTCCAAGCCAGAGTACCAAAACCTTGGTGTGCGAATCCTTTTTTTGGGTGCGCAAATCGCCGGGCCTGTGCGAGAATCCACGGTGAGCGAATCCGCGGATCTTTTTTTGGCACGCGAATCTTTTGCTGCGCGAATCCGTCTTCAACTTCTCAAAATGTAGCAAAGCTTTGTGTGTCACAAGCTCTCTGGGCTCAGGACAGATGTTGCTGTGCAAGCCTGTGTCAAACGAATCTCAGGACGGAACTGAGAGTACGAGTTGCAGCAGCTAGCAGAAACGGGGGGCGTGTATTTCGAGGGGATTTGACATGTTGTTGAGCATGAAGGGAAAGCTTTGCATGAGTTTTGTTTGCCTCTTTCACATGAGCGCCGTGGTCACATGGGTGGATGTCAAAATTATGGTCCTTTTTTGGGTACCCTAGATATTAGGTGCCGGGGATCCAAAAAGGGACCATCATTTTGACGACCGCCCACATGTCATCTCCTCATGCATATGCGAGATCTCCAATCAACAGCCGAAGAGCATTTGTGGTGGCCAAAAGATTTGCATCAGAGATCAGGCAGGAACGGCTGGAAGAATCCATTGATGAATTGCAGCTTTGGCTCAACCGCCACACGCTTTTTAACAGCTGCACTTTTCCAGCAAGGGTTGGGGGCCCAGTATTTTGGAAACTGAGCCGTGCAGGATAAGGTGATAGGCTGCTGTTGCCCCAGGCCATCCAGCACAATGGCTCGCCGAAGCAGTTCTGTTCTTGTGGCCGCCGTCCTGATGGCGGCAGTGGTCCGGGGGCTTAAGATCTGCTTCGCTCGGTGAAGTCTGAGCC